GCCGACTAATCAATTACCCACCTTTTTTTACTTCAAATATAATATTGTGTGTTTACTATGTATTTATATTCTTTATAAAAGTAATCAGTTATTGAGTATTAACTATATTATAAATTAATATATCATATAAACATGTAGACTGTAGTACATAGGTACTTTATACTGCAACACACCTACCCGTGTATTAAAACTAAAAAGCTGTCGATTTCATATCTAATTTTATCCAGTTAAGAAGTAATTGATTAGCTATTCCCACTACATAAATCGGTTTTAAGAACCGGGTTGTTGAATTGATACAAATAAAGTTTTCTAAGTTATATTTTACAGGTCCTAGAAACTTATGACCTGCGCTCAATAAACTAACACAATAGAAACGATATTATAGCAACGTATTACAAGGTTTATCTATAAGATTAATATCAATATAATTATACAGTACACTATATCATCTGAGTAACCCTGTTCTTTAGGGTATTATTTTGAAGATCACGGGTGTAGCGGAATACGAGTTGAAACGATTGAATAAATTATAATTTATCTATATAAGGTAGGTTATTACACCTATAGTAAATCAAATTAAAAATGTTACTTAAAAATTTAGAGACTGCTGTTGTCTCTATATTACGAACCAAACTCGACTGACTAGCTATATCAAAAATGATTTGTATATACTCGTACTCTACGTTCCTGTGTTCTTCTGACCTAAGCAAAATCGCAGAGTGCGGCATAAATGACACGTCAGTAACATGTATATCGTTACAATACCTAAGGAGATATTATTGGTCTGAAAGATTTAGTATATTCAATTCAATGCTTAGACCTATAATGAGTATATATAATTACCGTTTTTTCGGTAATAGTCTTCGTTGGTCTTAATTTTGCCAATCCAGCCATTTTCGATTAACGCCGTCTGAATATCGGCCGGCATTTTGACTACTGCAGTAAAGATTTTTTTTTCGCGGATTGTTTGGTCCAATGTGCCTAAAGAATTGTTTTTGGATAATTTTTTTTTTTATGATTTTATCATTACAAGCCATCAGAATGTATATAAATTAAAAATTATGAGTTAAAATTTAAGTGTAAATTTCTTATTCAAAATTTAAAGTGTTAAGTAATATGTAAAAAATTAAATGTATGTATAATATACGCGATGTTGATATGGCAACAATTTTATCGATATTATGATATTATAATCTGTTGACAATGTTATTTGATAAATATTACATTTTAACTGTTGATAAAGTTATTTAATATATTCTCAATATATTGTAATACTGTGTGCTTAAGGCTTAAACCAATAGCCATCATATCTCTTTTAGATTTAAAATGTATAAAAAAATAATTATAATAATTGATAGCCATTAAGTATATGAGGATAAGTTGTAAATATTGAATAGGACGATAAGATTTTACATACACACATAAACACAAATATAACATGATATTTATAAGGAGACAGCTGTCGTCGCCTGTCTCGAAGGCAGTCTTTCAGCTCAGGGCGCGTACGTGTTGTTCTCGTATTTTTGTAAAAATGTTCTTATAGGCGAGTGTAAGAGACTACGCAAATCGTTTATACAAAAGGATGTAACACCAATCGGTCATCCACTCTATACTTTGGACGCTAACTATTTCAACAGGGAAGTCACTACAAGGATCGGAGAGGTAATATACAAATTTATAATATAACTAAGCAGTAGATTTAGAGACGTATAACCGCCCCGACAATATCAAGCTATTTTATATCATTAGTCATTACTAAGTGTGCGCCCACCTATAGTGGCTCTTACTACGTTTAAAACCCTCGAGATAAAAATGAAAATAGAAATAAAAAATAAAAATACTAATACGAATATATACATAATTAAATATAAAAATATTTTTTATCATTATTTTTTTTTTAATTAAATGTATACTCAAGTTTTTTTTCTCTCACTTAAAATTATTATAACCATTATGAATTTCGTTGCACAATAATATATTTGGTCTAATTTTTTTTCTCTTATTAATAATACAATTTTAAAATTTATAATCAATCTTTTGTAAAAATTAAATAAATAAATAATTATAATTAAATAATTGATAAAACAAATATCATTTTCTCAAGTGTCACAAAATAATAGTGATCAGGAGAATGAAATACTTATAGAAGAACCGATTTTTATTTCAGTATCATATGAAATCTAAACAAATTTAAAGAACATTAATTAATTTTAGAGTTAAATAAAAGAAATTTAAATAGTGTGGTGACAGTTGCAGAACTTGAAAATAGATTATTAAAATATTTAAACAGTGAATCTTGCTCAAACGATTTTATATTAATAAATGAAAATTGTCAAAACTTAAATGATCAAACTAAAACAAATACAATGAATAAAAAAAAATCCTATTTCAAACCTAGTAATTTTCTAATTCTTTATTTGAAAGCATATATATATATTTTTTTTAATATCAAAGAGCAGCTTCTATTAATGGTTGGACTGAACAAGAAAAACATCGAAAATTAAAATTTTAATAAATGGGCTGATTTATGAAAAGAACTTCGAACCCATTGCTTATCAAAATAAGCTTCAATATGATTACTACTCGAAAAAAGAAAGCAATTAGATGATGAACTACTTATGGCATACATTAATGAAATTGAATCACTTTGTAGATTATAGATTGTAAGGACATAAGGTAAGTTATACATTTAACAATTTAAAAAAAATAAATAATATAGTCACAATGTTGTAAGCGTTAAAGTTAGAATTTTGATGAAATTCGTCAAAATCATGACAATTTTGCTATCTATATTTACTTTTTTGAAAGTGATTTATTTATTTTAATTTTGTTAAAGAATCTTTTGGAAAATTTCTTCTTAAACTTCTAGTAGAATTTCTAGAAATTATTAGTGAGGACATTTGAGAGATAAAAAGATTTTTATGATTTATAAGTGTATCATGAAAAGTGTTTGAATGTAGATATTTTAAGTTCTAATTTGCACAAAATTAAATATTTTGATTAAATTTTACTTTTTTGTTTTAATTTAAAAATTGTAATTATGGGTACTTGAAACTTTGGCGTTTATTAATATATTTTATACACAATGCAATTTTCATATTCTTGTCAAATAGTAAAATAAATTACTTTAATAGCAATATAAATAAATAATTATTATAAAATATCTTTGTAATATAATCTAATAGATTGTCGTCTGATTGTCTACGTTTAGAATCATTTTTCGTATACAATGATTCATTATTAAATTTAAAACATACGTCATACATTACAATTACTTTATTCTCATATAACAAAGATAATTTAGACCCTCTTTTTTAAATTTACTCACCACTTTTTCCATATAATTATAGAAAACCTTTTAAAATAAATAATGCACATAGGATATTTTCGTCAAATGTATATAATTGTATGACATAATATCTACAGATGTTTATGAGCTAAATTACAACTATACCAATAAATATTAACTTCACTAAAATATAATGGGATAACATTGTACAAATTTGAATTTAATAATTTTATTATATTTTATTATAAAAACCGGATAGAATACAGTACCTATATACTTATATTTTAATTACTTAATTAATAAATAATTATTTTAACAAAGATAATAATTAAATTTGAAACTGAATGCACATTTAGAGTTGTTACCTATTAATTTAGTCTACATTCTGAAACTGAGTTTCTTATTAAGTGAACATTTTTTTTTCACATTAACTAGTCACTATTAATCCCTTAGCGAGTTAAATGTATGATTAGTTAACAACTAACTTAACGATCTTGTGCTCATTTACTTTAAATTGAATAAATTATTTTTATGTATTACTACTTACCTTTTGGTATTATACTTAAGTTATCAAAATAAAAAGAATGTATTCTCCGGAGTTTGAAAAAATAGAGAAAACTGAAAAGTATTTAAAACAATTTACAAAGAAAACAACGAATACTAGATGTTATTTAATATATAAATGTTTTTCACTGCACGTTGTATGAGCCACGAACTACGAAGTCGATAACTCGAAAATAAAATGGAAAATGAAATATAAATTACAAATAGTACAAATAATATTATACTTACTAGAAAGTATAAATATATCACTATTTTGAATGTTCACGATACGTGGAAATAAACTCACCGATGTTGAATAACAATGTATCGGACAAAAACATCGATGTTTTTAAAAAATCGACGTTTTTTGCCCACCTCTACCGGGCGGTTGGTACTTGTCTTGGTGCCCGTCGCCCATAGAAAGTACTCCTCTATGATGTCGCCTAACGCATGACCAGCGCGGCCGGTGAGCCTTTTTAGCGGTCGGCACTCGGCAACGGGAACTCAAACGTATGTCAAACATCGGAACGTGCCGAACCTGGCGGCCTAGTTCTGGCGACCGTCATCGACCAGCATCTTAGCCACGCCATGTACTACGGTCCGGGTACGCGAGTAGCGGTGAGCGCCGCCAGCCAGACGCTTTCGTCGCAGTCGGCGGCCAACAAAAAAGTGCCACGGAACAGTTCCAAGCAGTTTGGCAATGGCTGCAGATTAACGGGGCCGGGCCCAACAGTCGCGGTCACCGCCGACACCACGGGACGCGTAGACGTGACAGCCGTAGTCGTCACTGTTGCTTCGGTTTTGGCGCTGCGCAGCATCTTCGATCCAAGCTGTTTGTGGTCGCAATAATCAACGCCCCTGACCGCAGCACCTAACCCCCCGGAGTGCCTCGTCATGGCAGATTTCCGGTTCAATGAGAACCCGTGCACATCCGGCCGCTAAGCATCGACAGCACGGTCCGTACGTACAACGTCCGACTTGACTTGGCTCCGGCGACCGTTGTCGACCAGCATCTTGGCCACACTCTGTACTACGGTCCGGGTCAAGCGAGTGGCTGCGGGCGCCGCCAGCCGGTCGCGTTCTTCGTAGTCAGCGGCCAGACACGGGTCGTCAGACACGATGTCGATCAGCCACGGTTTCAAGTCGTCGCCCAACACGAACGTGCTACGGTACAGTTCCAAGCAATTTGGCCGCAGATTAACGATGTCGGCCGCCACAGCCGCGTTCACCGCCGACACCACGGACCGCCTGACCGCCACGTGGACGTGGTCGCTGTCTTTACCGCCGTTATCGCGGTGGTCGTGTTTAGTCCGTCGTTGCTGCTGCTGCGGCTTTCTCGCGTTTTTGGCGCTACGTCGCATTTTCGCCCCGAGCTGATTAAGGTCAAAAATCAGTGCCGTCAACCGCAGCATCCCGTGCAACCTTCCGGACTTGAACCGCTCGAAGTGCCCCGTCTTGGCAGATTCCCGGTTTAATGAGAACCCGTGCGCATACGGTTGCACGATGCATGTCCGGTGCAGCCACACGGACAACCGACCGCCAAGCGTCGACAGTAAGATCCATACGTACACGTCCGATTTGATGTTGTTGCGCAACAGCGGCGTCTCGACGTATTTCTGAACGATGCGGTTCGCGGCGCCACCCGGCCGCGCGCACCGGTTAAGCACGTCGCCGAGTTTGTTCAACATCACCGGCCGGTGATGGTCGCCCGCCGCCGTATCCTTGACTATCCAAACGTTCTTGTAGCCGTCCATCACCGTCTGCGGCCTTACCGCCGTTATCCGAGTCACGATCAGTCTGGTAGACGTGGCCATATTGCGCAATGCCGCGTCCACGTCGTTGCCCGTCCCCGGCACGGCGAACTTTTGCTGGTCGTTCACGATTGTGTGGTAATGTTCGAAAAATGTTTCCCAGTCAGCTCCCTTGCCCGAAAACTCTGACGCCCTTTGCGATATGTCGCCCGTTAAGTATTGTTGACATTTGATAGCGGCGAAGTGGAGTGCCGAAAGAGGTACCTGGTGGTGATATTGTAATATTTAAGTTATACATTAGAGTAGAAAATATATTGACAAATTAATTAATTGACTTTGCGTGTGTACTCACTTTGCCGCTTTTGGAGCACATGGCTCGATGATCTCCGTTCACGAATGCACGCAGTAACGACACACAGGCGGTTAATGAATAGTCCACGACGAAGTTACGGTCCACGTGTTCCTCCTTGTCGGCGCATACCCGGTACGCCCTTGGGTAGTGAACGTCGAATTCGGATTTCCCGGCCAGAGTGTGGCCGCATAACTTCAACGAGGCGTTCGCGTCCCTCGGGAACCGATTAACTACGACGTCTGGATGTATCGTCCTCCAGTTGATGACATCGCTGTTCGCGTCTATCCACATCAGACCGGATTCGTAACGCTTGACGACTGCTTTGACACGCTTGACGTTATTATGTAACGATAATATTACGGTGGAACCTAAACACATATAAGTTATATACTTATATCCGATGTATGTGTAAAAATGTAAATGTTAAATCTCACATAATAAAGCAGTAGTCATTATATACACTGAAATCGAATGAGAATTTATAATTTATGCATATAAATAGATAGAAGCCAATGATACGTCATGTAGTATTTCTGCATGTGACGACTGCTACCTACCTTTAATATTTAGATGCTTAAATATGACGTGCATTATATGGATTTAGTTTATCTTTTTCGGTCTAATATATTATTATACCTTACCTTTATAGTATATACTATTTTTGCCCAGTTTATTTATTTATTTAATGTATACGGACGAATATCATAAAACATATATGACAAATATTGCGTATGAAAAATAACAAACAAAATATAATATATTAATAATTATTACTCAATAATATATTGTATATAATAAGAAAGACTATTAAAAGTAAATATATCTCTAATACAAATTAAAGAAAATAAGAAACTGTAAAGTATAATTAAAGACGTGATATGTATAACTTGCAATCATTAGAAAGTTAGCTGGAGAGTAAAAAATATGATTTTTTTTTTTATTGAAAATAATGGATAAAAAGGTTAAGAATCTCAAGTATGAAGGCTCTAGATTTTAAAGCGGATTAATGAAAGTATTTCGCGATAATCATTTGATCCTATAAACAGTTTTTGAAAAAATAAAAGTAAACGATGGTCAGATATTTAAAGAATATTAAGAAAATTTAAAACATTATTACATGAGTCATGAAAAGGTCTGTGATTGATATTGAATTTAAAAGAGATAAAACATAAGAAACTATTTTGAACAGATTCTAGCATAATATTTTGAGTTGACGTATTATTTATCCAGATTAGGGGGCAGTACTCTGGATTGAATCGAATAAAAGAGTTATAGAGGATTTTTAAAGGAATATAATCTATAAGAATAAACTACTGGTGAATTTAGTAATACTAAGTTACGAAAAGTTTTATTCTTAATCATTTCAGTATGAGAAAAAACAATTTAATTTAAAATCAAAAATTATACCTAGATATTTTAAGTGGGGAACAAGCTCGATATGAAAATCTCATGTCACAACGGAATATGTTTGTCACCCAACTCCTACGAAACGGCTTGACTGATTTTCACAAAATTGTGTGTGTGTATTCAATAGGTCTGAGAGAGTGATGTAAAATATTTTTTATACCCCGTTTCGGAGGAATTTGGTGACATTTTCCGTTGTGATTTGTTACACAAGATTTTTATATATTAGATGTACCTTATTATGTATATTGTATACATGACAGTAGAGTTATAATAATGTAGTCATGTAATCCATGTAGGCTGTCAGATTAGGGTCTGAGTTCAGAATCGTTTTTCATATACGATCACAATGTCTTTGAGTTCAAATTCAACACTATTATCGCTGCAGTAGCCGACTAATCAATTACCCACCTTTTTTTACTTCAAATATAATATTGTGTGTTTACTATGTATTTATATTCTTTATAAAAGTAATCAGTTATTGAGTATTAACTATATTATAAATTAATATATCATATAAACATGTAGACTGTAGTACATAGGTACTTTATACTGCAACACACCTACCCGTGTATTAAAACTAAAAAGCTGTCGATTTCATATCTAATTTTATCCAGTTAAGAAGTAATTGATTAGCTATTCCCACTACATAAATCGGTTTTAAGAACCGGGTTGTTGAATTGATACAAATAAAGTTTTCTAAGTTATATTTTACAGGTCCTAGAAACTTATGACCTGCGCTCAATAAACTAACACAATAGAAACGATATTATAGCAACGTATTACAAGGTTTATCTATAAGATTAATATCAATATAATTATACAGTACACTATATCATCTGAGTAACCCTGTTCTTTAGGGTATTATTTTGAAGATCACGGGTGTAGCGGAATACGAGTTGAAACGATTGAATAAATTATAATTTATCTATATAAGGTAGGTTATTA